GAGACTGAATCATTGAAAGACTGATGCCCTTCTGAAAATAATGTCCTAAGTATATGTGTGCACATGTGTGTGTGTGTTAGAAAGAGAGAGCGCACATGTTGCTCTTTAAGGCTGCTTGCATAATAAAGACATAAAAACACTGATACAGGAAAAAGCAAACAGATTTCCTTTTGTTCAAGGGTTACTAAGCTGCTTTTGGTGTTGAAGGGCAAAAGTATCGGTCTCTATGCTTGTATGTGGGGGGGGGGGGTTGGGGGGGTTGGTTTTTTAATCGGAACGCACATTTTCCCCAGTGGAGGCTGCCACTCCCACTGAGCAGAAAGGTAGTTAGCCGTCTTAGTCTGAAATCAGGCAGAAAACAGAGTAGATGTGTACTTTATAGGTTAACTAAATTAGAGATGCATAGCATCTGTAAGCAGTAGGCTTATGAAAGCTTATGCTGTGCATTTCTGATTTAGTTAGCCTATAAAGTGCAAATTTACCCTACCTTCTACTGCTACCACTGCCATGCTAATTTTGACAAGACAGAGCAATTAAAATAATAGATTTTCAATAAGTTTTTAATATTTATTTTTAAAATCACTTGATGCTTTGTAAAATTAATTTGATAAACTGTTATTGCATATTATAAATCTATAATTTTAAATTGCACTGTTTTATAAGGTCTGAGTTTTGAAAAAAGTATACCAGTGGTATCTTACTTAAATTTTACAGGTATGTAATTGTATTTCAGTGAATAAGTCCGCTCAGTTAAAAGGGACTGCTCCAAGTTGTGAATCAGGACTTTTTAAAAAGTATTTCCCCTGGTGTCATAAAATCTGTCACTTCAAAACATAAGGACTTCAAAGTTAACAGTGACATTATTTAGTTTTCAATAAATTAGATTATTGTAATTTGCTATCAATGAAGCTGGGGGAGGAAATGAAGTCAAGTCAAGTTGGATGCTCAGGAGACAGGATCTTGTAAGTGATGGCTCCCATTGCTGTATTCTCTATCAAAATGCTCCCTGTCCTAGGTGGAATATGTGCTGGTCCCTTTTCCCACTGGGATAATTGACAGTTTTAGGAAGCTTGCCAAAAATTACATCTGAACTGGGGACAGAACCATGATCTTGGAAATGGTAGCCCCAATCCTCAGCTTTTATGCCACAGTTCCTCTTGCACAAATTGTTTCCAATCTCTCTCTATTTACCCAGACTGTTTCCCTTTGTGAAGGGCTTTCAGATCAACAAACGAATAAAGGTGAGGTTAACTGCGAAATATTATTCTTGGCATTATATTTTTCCAGCTAGGGTGATTATGGCAGAGAGGAACAGTATGTGTGGGACATTTAGGGCTAATCTTAATTCTAATACTTAGTAGAGAGTAAAGAGAGCTTTATATCTGTCTCTGCCTGTGTGGACAAAAAACAACTACACTAAGGGCTGAGTTAGTGCGGATTACTTCTTTCCAGTCTTGCTACAGGTGAAGGCGGAAAAGCAAGAACATTATTGCAGCTCTACGCTTTAAAACTGTCCTGGGTCTGCCTCTGAAGCAGGGGTGCCATGTGCCGTGCATAGCTTGGGGCTTGTGTTCAAGCCACAATCCAGTTCTTAATTCACAATAACTCTGCTAACATTTAGACTGAAAGCAGAATATGCTAACCCTGCATGTGTAGCAAACCTCTCTCTTGGGCGCGTGTGTGTTTTGTCAGGTATTCTTTGAAAGATGCTCTATGAGCATGCATACCTCTCATTCCTTAAGTTAACCAATGAGGTCATTTTTACCCACTAAATTTCCTTACAATTTAAAAAACCCTGTCTCCAAACTACACAAAGGGGGGGGGGGACCCAGAAAAGCAACTCTGAAAAATTCCCAAAACAACAGAAAGGACCAGTAATAGTTATAGAATAAGATTACTTAACAGCCTGCCATATCCTATACAACATCAAGTCCTTAAAAACTAGTGTACAGCTCTGCAAAAAACCCATGAACAACAACACAGCATCATACTTTCACCAGGAAGGCAAATACATAAGCACAAGTATTTTGAAGAGATTGCCTAACAAATTTCCCATGTGCAATATGGCTCTCTGGATTTATTTGGGTTTCCTTCCTAATCTCAGCTGAACTCTTTTGATGAAACTTTTCAAAAGAGACTTCAGCCTGACCAGCAAAAATCTGACAAATCTGTAAGCAGCTGAAGGCCGTGTCCTTCTAATGATAAATTAAGGACAACCTTAACTTCAGCAGATATTGCCGGGTCCACCTGTAATAGCTCACGCTTAACCTACATATATATTTTTAAAGAAACAGTAGTTATAAGTACTTCACCTAAAACATCGATTGTTAGTGGCTAAATATATGAAACTAGATTTTCTATTAAACTTGCCTCATAAAAGTATCTTCCCCTAAGATAAAGATAAAAATGTTTCAAAGTCCACAACAATCCATGAGTCAAACTCAGAGGTACTGTGCCATGACAACATTCATTTCTTTCAAGAATAGATATTCTTTGTTTTATGGGCCACAAAATATACATTGTCATTCACTATTCATTTTCTGCTTTTTAAGGGTCTGGGTTCTGTAAAAAAAACCAAAAAAAGTGTGCGTGGGGGGTGGAAATTGTAGTGCTCCATACCACTCTCACAGTAAAAAAACAGACAAAGAGTTTCTGGAGAAAATCTCAGCAAAGATCATTTGACAAACATCATCCTGTCAGTAGAAGAAGCATGCGGACAAAACTGATGATGGGTCAGAGGGAGGGCCATTTCCAAACCTAGCTGATCCTTGCATGTCTACAGGAGAGTCTGGACCCACAGATCCAACCACACCTACAAGCCAATCTTTATAGCATGATTTAAAAGGAGTGATGCCATCCAAAGTCTACCTCAGTTTCGCTAGGGCTCTGGTCATACAAATGCACAAACAGATCTTTGCACGTCCCCCTTGGTTCCAAAAGCTTCCATTGTATATTTTTTGGAGAAACTAACAGAAATGGTATACAAAATGTGACATAATCACACTATTGATAAATCCTACATGATTTCGTATAAAGCATGTTGTTTTGCTTTCCCTAACATTTGCAGTTTGTACAAACGATGATGCTAACGTAAGAATTCAGAGAAAAGTAGAATGGGTTGCTAACCTAATCAGATCAATAAGAAAAATCAACGGTGTACTGATAGCTGACACAATGAAAAGACGAGGTTTTTAAATCAGTGTTTCTGTGCATGTGGGATCTATGCTTGCAAAAGTTTAATAAAAACCTAGCTGCAACATCTACTTGCTATGCTAACCCTTTCTATCATGACAACAAATCTTGATACATAAATTGGAACAGCTTGCTCATCAGAAAAATGGAGTTGCCCGTGTGTTTACATAAAATTAATTTTGAACGGTTCTGTGTGTGCATGCAGAGCTCATGCTTGCGGACCGAGTGTTTTTAAAAGCTAGTTTCAAAGCACCACAGATTAAAGTTTTGATCAATGTAGTTAAACCACCACAAATATGAAGGTTCTTAGATTTAGTTTCCCTGTTCCAACATCTGCATATAGGCAAGCTCTAGGATTCAAGAATACCACCAGGTTTTGACTTCAGAAACGGAAATAGCTAATATTTTAAATGATCTGGTTGTCTGCATAACTGGTATGCATGACAAGTGTTGCACACTCCAACAAAAAGAAAATCATCTGATAAAAATAATAAAATGGAGAGCTCTACAAAAAATGCTTAGCCCCGAGAGAGATGTTTTTAAAAGAACAGCTCACGTTCCAAACATAATTCTTAATTGGATGTTACCTTAAATATTTTATATTCACATATTCATATTCGGGTAACACTGCTTCAGTGGAGACGCACGCACACAAGTTGTTATTAATAAAACCAAATGTTATAATGATGTTAATTTTAACTATTAAAAAAATGTAATAACCCCAATCGTTTAAGGATTCATTTACATGGCACTCCTGATTAGGTATTCATCATGTCCCTTATTAGGATAACATCTTCATCATTTATGTAGAGCACTTGAGTTGTTTATCGATACAACTATCTGAACAGTTAGTTCTATGTACATTGTATGTTAAAAACCTGTTTATAATCTTAGTTTAGCTCCAAATAAACACCTTTAGTGCTTTTTTAATTTCCTTTCTGAATCACATGGATGTTAAGTACTATAGCCCTCGTGATTCCATTCAAAGCAGCTTTCAAAAATGTACCATTTCAACACACTTCCTTTCAATTTTTCCATGCATCTGAGATCGAAACAGAACGCTTTGTCTGAGGACATTAAACGAAAATACCAAATGGTGTAAACTGGGGTAACTCTAGTGTTTTGTTATGCGAACCTAACTAAAACAGCTGGGGATCGGGCCACCCATAACGTGACTCAGAGCAGCAAAGCATTAATTACACATGAAGCAGACTTGCTCCCTTTCCCACTGAAGTCAATAGCAGTTTTACCTTCTATTCTTATCCCCAAATCCTGGCCCGTGATTCAGATCCTAGATTCTCAAACTGCCCTATAAACAATGTGCCTCCAATGCAAGTACAAAGAAAAAAAATCTGAACATTGCCAACAACCTCAGCACGGCCTTTTCCTATTAAAAATATGGACGGTCTTAGAACCTGCCATCTCTTTCCAATAGTTTGACCATTACAATTGCTGTATCATATTGTCATTCAGGCCAACATAATGCAGTTTTTACATGACCAGTTCTCAAAGAGCTTTATCTACCCTTTAAATAAAAGCCTCTATAAGGGACAGCAGACCTAAGAGTGGGGAGGAAAGTGAATAATACTTAAATTAGCAAATGGTCACTGTAAAATATACTGGTTGATTTCTATTTTTTAAAAATCTTTGATACATTGAAGATGTGCTAGTCAGACATATTCCACTAAAATCTGGCTATGACATGAGAAGTCCAGTGAGTCAGGGCCACTAAAGGAAATAATGCTGAAATACCGATGAATAGTAAAATTTCAGTAGAAAATCATAATAGCATGAGAGAGATAACATACCTGTTTGTCATTGGCCCTATGAAAGGGTTAGTGATTAGCTGCACAGTTGCTTTAGAAGCAAACAATAAACCAACTTGAACATTTTCATTTAGAAGGTCCTTGTCTTCCTTAGGGCAATCTGAGGGTGTATCAGTCACATTTAAAACCATTTGTTCTGTCTGAGCAAGATACCAATCTTTCGGTCTTGTCCTATCAGACTGATTTCCAGTAACCATTGTAGAGTTGTCATAATAGGAGAAGATACTCTGAAAACTGTCCAATGTTGATGAAACTATCTTGGGCCTAATAGTGTGGGTTTCAGTCGCATTTTTGTGGTGTTTGATGCTGTAGAGGTAACTGGGAATTATTGGCACTGGAAAAAACAAACGGAGTACGTTGGTTACTCTACAGTTGTCATTGCAAATGACATCACTTCATTAGCCTGCACGCTTTATCATTGATAATGAAATGATAATAGAACAAGTAAAAAAAATAGGGCTTATCTTGCTGGAACATTATTAAGAGCTCTGTTGTTAATTTTTATCTACAGCACAGGATTATATTAATAAAAGTTGTACCAGGAAGATGTATGCTGGCTGTATCGATGATAACTAGGAAGTGCAGTTATAACCTGCTTCTGTAAGCTTTTTTCCATAGATCTTCAGATTTTGTTGGTTTGCGTGAGTGTAGCAAAGTCTTCCATAGGTATTATTTAACAAGCAAAGTATGAGGAGAACCCAATTGCTTGTGCAGCCTTATCTGGTGCATATTTTTTTAAAGAACACTTATTGAGGTGTAAAACCACAGAATCCAAGAAAATGGTCTAGTAACACGTATTTTTATTCCATGCAATTAAATGCTGCACAGAGTAAAAGTATTACGGGAAAAGATTTTGTGTCATCTTTATAATAACAGAGGGAGTTATAACATTCATGTTCATTCTCTCTTCATCACTGGATTTTTGTTAAATTCACGTAACAGAAAAATCAAAAGTGAAATTCTTAATATGATTTTCTTTTCTTAGTATAATTTTCCTGAAAATACTCATATAATAAAAATACATTCTTCAAAATTATTGAAAGTGGATGCCGCAGTATATTTTGCAAAGGAATAATAGTGATACAAGCAACAGTTGCTTACTTGTGTCACCTCTTGCAACATCTGAATATTCATCAGACCTGAAAAGATCTTCTAACATTAGGTTACTGAATAAGAAATGAGGCGCTAATACATTTACGAGAAAATGATTTTCTTAAAAAAAATAGAAAAAAAAATTAAAATATATACACAGCTTTATCTGAAGTCCTATTGTGGCACTGGGCTTTTTAAACTGAACTTTCCATTGAAATCAATGAGCGCAGTTTAAAAACTGATGCCACCATGCACTCAAGGAGTCAAACCTGTAGCATCTATGTCTGAGGGTTACATGAACAAGTATTTTCCTCTTGTTTTCACGTTTTTAAAAACTGCATCCTTATATCAAAGTTTAAACTAAGAGAAGACCTTTTAAAACTATTAGTTCGTATTCAAGCAACTTAAAATGTTCTTGTTAAATACATTTATAGCCATGCCTGCATATAGGTCCTGACTCTGTGAAGTCAAGGAAGTTCTGCTGTTGTCTTAAACCATGCAGGATCATCTTTGTTCTGGTCAAAGTTGACTGGGTTTTTTTACTCCACCTAATTCTGTTTTACTTCAAACTGATGTAGATGTCTTAATCTAGTTGTCACTGCTGTGCTACAAAAGTTATTATAACAATAATGATGGGGGGGGAACCCTATCAAAGGGAAACATGTGCCTTGTGTGTTATCTGGCCCTCCCTTCAGTCCTCATGACCGCAGAGAGAAGGAAGGAAGGCATCATTACAAAGACTTCAAAAACTGAGACAAGTGTTGGGTTGGGTTTTTTTTTTCCTACTAGAAATATTTTTCTGCAGAAGCCCGCAACCAGGACTGATGGGGCCAGCTGGGAGGACAGGGTGGGGGGACCTCGGGTGCAGACAGCCGCATCTCCGATGGTGAAAAAAGCGCTGCAGGGAACTTTCCTGAAATAATGTTCCTGAAAATACATACAATAAAGAAAAGACCAACACGGCTACCAAATACATCCCCGAAACACAGAGGATGCTGAAGTTTAGCCCGTTTTGGATTTAAGCTTCACTGCTGAACAGCAGGACAGATTTGCACGCCTCCCTGCCTGTCCGCCCAAGAAATCCTGCCTGCCCTGCACAGCAAAGAGCAACTCGCCCAGACCCGGAGGGACCCACGGCCACCCTCGGCTCCCTCCCTGCAAGCTGACAGGAACTTTTTCCCACCTTTAATGTTCCCCAAGCCCCAGGAAAGGTTGCAGAACCGGGGTTTGTTGCTGCTGTGGAGATTTCTTAGTTGGTCTACTAAGAAACCATCCCTGGGCTACTGAGGCATCGTCCCCGAGCCAAGATGCGCGGGGAGGCGGGGAAGGGGCGCGGGCCGGCCGGCACCTACCCACGACGGTGAGCAGCATGTTGTCCAGCAGCAGCGCGATGAACACGATGAGCAGGATGAGTCTCCGGGACTGGCGGCTGTCTCGGAGCCAGCGGAGCACGGCCGGCTCCCTCCACGCCATGGCTCGGCCGGCACCTCGCGCCCCCGCCCCGGCCCGGCC